GGGGCAACAGTGGGAGGGCTTCTGGAGTTCTGGCCCCACTGGAGGACCTCCTGATGGTACCTGGGTTTTGGTCACTGTGTGACACAGTGTTGGACCGGATGGGCCTTTGGCCTCGTATGTTCTTATATTCTTAACTGCTGTCCCAGATTTCTGGATATCCTTACTAGCTTAGGTAAGGAGTCCTTTGCTGCCTGCCTCTAAGCATTTACTGACAAGGTAGATAAGTCCACCTTTTGCTATTCTGAAGGCCAGCATTTTTAAAAAGGGACAGCATTTGAAGAAGACACCCGACCAGCTTCTTTACGAAACTTGCCTTTCTTAGGTGGCAGAAGTTAAGGAAGAACTTCTAAAGTCTGACTTCAAAGACAGTTCAAGTTAAGTCATTTGGAGAGATTTGTCCTTCAGTCTACAGGTTACAGTCTACAGGAGAGCCAGTTTGCTGTAGTGGGTAAGTGTGCGGACTCTAATCTGGGAGAACCAGGTTTGATTCCCCACTCCTCCACTTGCACCTGGCTGGATGACCTTGGGCAAGCCAAGGCACAGCTGTCCTTGAAAAAGAGCAGTTTCTCTCAGAGCTCTCTCAGCCCCACCTAACTCACAAGGTGTGTGTTGTGGGGAGGGGAAGGGAAAGGAGTTTGTAAGCTGCTCTGAGACACCTTTGGGTAGTGAAGGGCGGGGTATAAATCCAACCTCCTCCTCCTCTCCCTCTTCTTCTTCTTCCTCATGTTTGATGATGCAAGGACTCTGTACCAGACTGCAGTGTGCCTCCAAGATGCCCTGGCCAGGCTAGTTGTATTTCTGAAGCTAAGCAGGGTCATCCCTGCTTGTAGGGTTGCCAGCCTCCAGGTAGTGGCTCGAGATCTTCCGCTATTACAACTGATCTCCAGGCAACAGAGATCAGTTCACCTGGAGAAAATGGCCGCTTTGGAAGTTAGACGCTCTGACATTATGCCCTCAACTGCACCCTCCTCAGGCTCCACCCCAAAATCTCCAGGTATTTCCCACCCGGAGCTGGCAACCCTACCTGGTTAGTAGTTAGATGCGAAACCTCTGAGGAAGTCCAGGGTTGCTATGCAGAGGCAGGCAATGGCAAACTACCTTTGTTTGTCTCAGCCTTGAAAAACACCCCATGAAGTGTCACCGCAAATCAACTAGGATTTAACAGCGCTTTCCACCACCAGATGCACGCAAGCCCTTTTTTACTTGAGACCGCAGTGGATGGGCAGAGGTGGCTTTGGCCTCCCCCACCCAATGCAGTTTTCATGTCACACTGCCCCCCCACGAAGTCAGTTTTGGCTCCTTGGTGAAAATTACATTATTTGTGTGGCTATATGTAGTGCTGGAGCTGCGGTGGCTCAAGTGGTTAAGATGCTAAACTGCAGGCTGTGGAAGGTCGGTAGTTCAGCAGTTCGAGACCCGGGTGCCGCATGATGGAGTGAGCTCCCGTCTCTAGTTCCAGCTCCTGCCAACCTAGCAGTTCGAAAGCAAGAAATTGCAAGTAGATAAATAGGTACCAAAAAGAGAGAAAGCCACCCTCTGACTTTTTACAGGAGGTGCACAGAGTCAGCTTAGCAGGCCATGGTCTAAAAGGTAAGCCCCGCATTTGAAGAGAGATGCTCAGGAGCCATCTGAATTCCACTGGCTGTGTGTGTGTGTGTGTTAAATGCCATCAGGTCACTTCCGACTTATGGTGACCCCACGAATTAATGACCTCCAAAAAGTCCTTTCGTTGACAGCTTTGCTCAGGTCTTACAAACCGAGGGCCATGACTTCCTTGAGTCCATCCATCTCATGTTGCGTCTTCTTCGTTTCCTGCTGCTTTCAACCTTTCCTAACATTACTGTCTTTTCCCGTGATTCTTGGCTTCTCATAGCATGACCAAAGTACAATAGCCTCCATTGGTCACTTTAGCTTCTAGGGAAAGTTTATTTATTTATTTGATTTTTACCCCGCTGTTGAATACTGAGATAATTACATCAGCGCTAGCGAGGCCATGGGGTCTAGCACACCTTCGGGTGCTAGAACAATAGAGAAATCGGATCCTAGGGCAGACTAATTGGAGCACCCAAATTCTAGAGGAGACCTATCATGGACTCTTCCACTGTAAATAGCCTATCACTGGTGTTGGGTGTGTGTTGGGTAGGAAGATGCCCTTGGAATTTTGACAGCTAAGGCTGTGGCTTGGTCTGCCTCTGTATTGGTCCAGCTGTGTCTCAAAAGAAGTGAAGGGCTGTGTGGGGATAATGGGTTTTGTAGCTAGGCTGATTTCACTCTGGGTATATCTAGAGCGGAGACTGCAACCCAGAAACCAGCAGATTGAGATTGAGACTGGGAAGGGCAGCCAGGAAAGAGTTAGAAAAGATTCTTAAGTGTAGGAATGTGTCCCTGGCAACCAAGATCAAGTTAATTTGTGGCATACTATATATAAGTGTGAAAGCTGGACACTGAAGAAAGCTGGCAGAAAGAAAGTTTATTCATTTGAAATGTGGTGCGTGTTGGAGGAGAGTTTTATGGATACCATGGACTGCCAAAAGGACAAACAAGTGGGGTCTAGATCAAATCAAGCCTGAACTCTCCCTAAAAACTAAAATGACTAAACAGAGGCTAACATTCTTTGGTCACATTATGAGAAGACCAAAGTCACTGCAAAAGACAATAATGCAAGGAAAAGCTGAAGGCAGCAGGAAAAGAAGACCCAACATGAGATGGATTGACTCAATCAAGGAAGCCACAGCCATCAGTTAGCCTTAAAAACAAGTCTATCTCGCCACCTAGTGGTGCATAGTGCTAAAAGAGCTAGAACGTCTGTCTGCCAGACAATTTTAGGATCTCTAGGCTATTCTATACACAGTGCCATATCATAATTCATTAATTCTCCCTAGAAGCTAAAATGACTAAACTAAGGCTATTACTTTGGTCACATTCTGAGAAGACAAGAGTCACTGGAGAAGACAATAATGCTAGGAATGGTTGAAGGTGAAAAGTACTGGGTTCGCCACATGGAGGACTCGGACGACGACATGAGTTGCACACGTTGATTGTACTTAACCCAAGACTAACTAACGAACCGACAAGGCCAACTATATACATACCCACATAGCACCCCCTAGTCCCATTGGAGGGCTTGAATCTCCCGCCAAAGTGGCTATTAGTTGGTGTTGGGGGAACTAGGATCCTATATTTCTATTGTTCCAGGGAGCCAAGCTCCTGCCTTTGCCACGGACCCCTAGTGGCGGTCCGCGTACATAACAGAAGGTGTTAGGAAAAGAGGAAGACCTAACATGAGATGGATTGTCACAGTCAAGGAAGCCATGACCCTCTGTTTGCAAGATCTGAGTAAGGCTGGTAAAGACAGGACGTATTGGAGGACATTAATTCATGGGGTTGCAACAAGTCAGATGTGACTTGACAGCACTTAACACGCAAGCATATCTAGAGCTTAATTTGAACCAGTGTTCAACCTCTGAAGCTGTGGAGTCCCTCTCAGAAGCAGTTTCAAGTGCCAGGGCTCAGACTCAAACATATGGGAAGTGAGACCACAAAGAGGCAACCTCTGAGCACGTGCAAAGTACATTTCTCCTCCTCACTCAGTAACTGTGGTTTAATGGCCCACGTCTTTTTAGCTGCCAAGACAAGAGGCTGCTGCTTTGAGCTTTGGCTCTCCTTGTTCTTTAGAAATCAAGCGTGGCACACTCCAGGAACACGTGGGCTGGAAAGTTATACGTTGGGGTTTCTTAGCTTTCACTTCCTTTGAGTAAAATCACAAAAAAGAGTAAGCGTTTTTTTTCAATATATCTCCAAGCCTTTGTCTCTTAACGGAGATAGTACAGAATGACTAATTCGCATAGCATTAACTCACACTTCTTCTTTCAAAGGCGTGTTTTTAATCAGATTTCAGCATGCCATCAGAGCTTTGAAAAAATACTATTGCAAACCAAAGGATTGTCGCACCCAGAGTCCCCCCCCCCAAAAAAAAAATTAGATTGCTAACAGATGCATGTCAGCATGCACTGTTTTGCCAGTCTGTAAACCTGGAAGCACTATTCGGGAGAGCATTAAGAGTTGGAACGTAAAAAGACTGTTAAAAAATCAAGAGGGGAAAAACTCTCCTGTGTTCTACGGTAAATATGCAGTCTAAGGGGGGGGGGTTGTGTGAGTATTTTGTGTGTGTGTATGCCTGGAAGTTATGGTTGAGTTCTGGTGACCCCTATTGGGGCTTGGACATTTCAGGGAGGTGGCTCACTATTGCCTGCCTCTGCATCCCAGCCCTGGTATTCCTTGGCGGTCTCCCATCCAAGTACTTGCCAGGGTCAGCCCTGCTTAGCTTCCGAGATCTGATGAGATTGGGCTTGCCTGGGCTATCTAGGTCAGGGTTGGAGTTGTTTTCACAGATTGATATCAGCCTTACATGTGAAAACACATTCAGAAAGCGATGTGGTCTAAAACAACAGGACTTCCACAACTGAGAATCATCTGAATGTCCTTTTTCTGTGTGTGTGTGTGTGGGGGGTCAATAACAGACTTTGCTCATATATACCCATATTATTTACTTCCACCAGTTAATCCGAACCTTTTCCTGGACAGTTAGAATAGCTTATCCTTTGAAATGAAGGGAACACATAGCCATCCCAAAGAAAAGCCGCTGTTTCTTTGACAGTTGATGGTCCTAAAGAGCCAGTTTGGTGTAGTGGTTAAGTGCGCGGACTCTAATCTGGGAGAGCCGGGTTTGATTCCCCCACTCCTCCACTTGCACCTGCTGGATGACCTTGGGCAAGCCATAATTCTGGCACAGCTGTTCTTAAAAAAGAGCAGTTTCTGTCAAGAGCTCTCTCAGCCCCACCTACCTCACAGGGTGTCTGTTGTGGGGAGGGAAAGGGAAAGAGTTTGTAAGCTGCTCTGAGACTCCTTTGATTAGTCAAGGGCGGGGTGTAAATCCAATCTCCTCCTCCTCCTCCTCCTCCTCCTTCTTTTGCCCTAATTGTAAACCCTGTGCTTTCCAGGTCATGAGGTGGACTCTGAAACTATGGCTTCTCTTCCTGCTCACAGCAATGGCATGTGTACAGAAGACAGCAGGTATAAGTATGGTGGAAAGCTGGTGTGTGTGTGTTGTGTATGTATGACAGAGACAGAGAGAGTGGGTTGCATCCAGTCTAAATTTTGTCCACGGAAGCACAACTCCCCGATTCCCCGCTCCCAAAGCAGCCCCAAATGCTTCTCAAAACTCTGTTTCTGGGCCACGGGGGACTCCTCAGGAACAACATGGGGGGGGGGGAGTTAAAGGGCTGACATAGGAGGGGAGAATCTCTCCCCCCATACACACATCTTGTTGTTGAGACTGTGGTTTATTGAACAAAGTGATCAAAACTAGGTAGAATCATCTTGGGAATCCTGCTTTGCCTTTTGTCAGTGGTAGCTGACGGCAGCACCAGCAAGGCTGAAAAGCAACTAGCACCAGAGCGATGTGCTCCACAGCAGAGGGATGCCACCACCACTACCACCCCAACAGACAGAGAAGGATGCAGATGGCATCAAGGCTTAGGATCCAAACTTTTTTTTGTTGACATCAAGTCGCAGCTTACTTATGGGGACCCCGTAGGGTTTTCAAGGCAAGAGACATTCAGAGGTGGTTTGCCATTGGCTGCCTCTGTATAGAGACCCTGGACTTTCTTGGTGGCCTCCCATCCAAGTACTAACCAGGGGTGACCCTGCTTAGCTTCTGAGATCTGACGAGATTGAACTAGCCTGCTGGGCTATCCAGGTCAGGGCAGCATTGAAGCGAGTGAAAGTCAGAATAGAAAAGCAACAGTAGATGAGAGGGAGGGGCCAAGATGATGTGTTTGACGCCTCAGAAAAGGAGAGCCAAGGCAGGAAATAAAGTCTGGGGAGGCAGCAACTAGAAACGGGAGAAATGTGAGAGTGTCTGGGGAGAAGATGGGCTGGTTTCTCCCCCTGAGCAGTCAGCCATACACTCAGGACATTAACTTTAGAGAGCAGGGATATGATCCGTGTCCCAAGGTGGGTTTCTGGTCCCAAGCCTGACACTAGCCCCCACTCTTGCACTAGCCCCACGATTATTTATTTATTTATTTATTTATTCAACTTCTATACCGCTCCATCCCGGAGGCTCTGAGCGGTTTACATGGGCATTTTTTATAACTTCCTAGCTAGGGCCACACAATGTATAGGGAAGGTGAGTGCCTACCAGGCACCCTGCCGGCTTTTTTGATATTCTTCTATCTGTGGCTTCCTCGTGGTGGGTTCTGTCTTGGCGCGGCTCCGCAGTGGCTCCTTCTGGGGTAGTTCCACAGTCCATGACTGTGGGATGACTGCTGCACTGGCCTCTGTCCGATTGGCTCCGGCCATGCTGCTAATCCCAAGCCCCCACTCTTGCAGATTCTTTAAAAGAAATAAAATGGGGGGGGGATGTTTCCCAAGAAATTTTAATTAATTAAACTAACTTAATTAAATGTTTTATATTCAAAGTTTTAAAATCCCAGCATTCCCAGTGACCAGTGATTCTAGATTAGGGGAAAACAAGAAAAAAAGAAGTTGTGAAAGTATTAAATTACCAAACAAAACTCTGTTAATGGTAATTTGTAGCAGAACTACATGCACACCTTTTGGGGAAAGTGAGTATTCCAGGATGCGTTGTGTGCAAGGGGGGGGTCCATGCACAGGGATTTTTTCAGTGCTCCCTCTAAGCTGTGGAGCCTTGTTAGCAAAAATTCTACTTTGTGAGCTAAGTTGTGAGCAAGTGATTTGGCTACTGCATCAATTAGTTTGCTCTGGAGCCATCCTTCCTGAGCTAAGACAAAAATGTGTGAGCCGGAGGCTGAAAAACTGTAAGCTATCTCTCACTAACTCAGCTTAGAGGGGACATACACATCATTACCATTGTGCTTCTCTGCTCCTCTTGGGAGGAAGCAGGGGTGACGGAAATCCTCTTTTCAGGTGTTGCCCTTCCCCATTTTCAGAGAGGAAAGCTGGATTTTGACCCTAGCTGAAGGTTTATTTTATTTCAATTAATTTGTTTAATTCATCCATTCATTTTAATTAATTTCGTTTCCACTAGCCCAAAGCCACTCAGCAAGCTTCCATGGCACAAGTGGGAATTCGAATCTGAGTCCCCCAGATAATAGTCTGACCGTCTTCTTAACCACTGCACCACCCTACACCACACTTGACAGGATCCATCTTTCTGAGCATCAGCTTGTTGCTCTCTTTATACATGTTGAGACAGAAGATGTGTGTGGGGAGAAATTTGGTGTTCTGGTTTGCTGTGCCTACCTCAGATTCCCTTATATGACACCGCAGGTGGAGGAGATCAAACTGCTTAGAAGACGAGAGGCAGGTACTTCAAGGAGGAATCTGTGCCAGCTTACTGTCTGCACTCCAATCTGTCATCTGAAGTGCTTGCCTTTTCTCATGGCTGGGTTACACTTATTTCTGACTTATTAACTGGAAGGCGTCAGTTGGAGGCCACTGTGTAGGTGAAACAAGCATTGCAGGGCCTAGGAAAGGAAGTGGTCTCGGTGTGGAAAGAATGGTGGCGGATCCTTTGCTTAGGTTAGGAAGCAAATTAGTGTGGGAAGGACAGAATTGACATAAGGGGGGGGGGAAGGAAGAGGTTGCAGACATCCCGTGAATTGCAGACAGGGTACAGCAATACACAGAACTGTAACCATCTATTCCCTTTGCAGGTTCGTGCCAGCCGCGTCCCTCATGCCATGAATGCATCCGTTCCCACCCCAGCTGTGCCTGGTGTAAACAACTGGTAAGTGCTTTCTCTTAAGAACATCTGGAACTCTTTTTTATGTTATTTTCCCAACCCTCAGGGGATCCAGGAAGCATTTTCCTTGGACCTGGCATCTAGATCGTCATTATTATTATTTTTTAAAGGGCAAGAGGATAAATGGCCAGGGCTTTAAATAAGAGGTGAATAAATTCCACCAATTGCATTCAGATTAGGACTTGTTCATTCCATATTTAATAGGTGGTTCCCCCTCGGATTATAGTTTATCAAACTTGGCAAAACTTGGAACAGCAGAACTCAAGGATTAAATTGAGAATGCGCCTCCCCATTTCCCCAGTGTCTGCTGAGATTATGGCCGAAGTGGGTTAAAATGTTGACATTTCTTGGGTGTGCACTTCCACAGTGCAGAGAACTCTGGATCCTGGGAGAAGTGCACCCGTATTATGAAACATAAAAACAACAGTAAAATAACAGAAACTCTTAAAAGCTATCCCTTTCTTTGCCCAAAAATGTGAAAAACCATTAATCATTTTTAGCTAATTTTAAGGGATTTATGGGGGAGGGTGCAGAAAAGTGCACCTATATATTTCAGTACTGAGAAAACAAGCCCTGAAAGAGATTAGAAAGCTTTTAAAAAATTACACGCTGAAAAACTAAAAATCTCCCTTATAAATAAAAGCCGAATGGTGTTGGCACTTCTCTAGAACATTCCACACGCTCCAAAATCAGTTCGCTCTCTGATCTGTCATCCAGAGGGTCTCCCTATCCACTGGCTGCTTTGCCTGAGTCCTGCCTCCAACATTCTAAACGTTTTGCTGTTCCTCTCCCCCCCATAGCCAGTCAGAACACAGAGGTTATTTGCATATGCAGCCTCATCGGCCATCGCCTTGGAACACAGAGGTCGTTTGCATATGCGACTTGATTGGCTTTTGCCTCTAACATTCTAAACAGTTTGCTCTTCTGAGGTAAAATGTGTCCAATCTCCAGGTGAGGGCTGGAGATCACTCAGAATTACAGCTGCTTTCCAGAAGGCAGCGATCAGTTCCCCTGGAGAAAATGGTGGGCTCTGTATCCTTATATGCTGCTGAGGTGCCCCATTATGACAGCCAATATGACGCAGCAGTCAGGGCTTCAGAGCACGGGAGAGGCTGCAGGTGTGTGGGGGGTGGAAAGCTGAAGAGTGAGGGGGAAATAAAGGTAGGTTGATGATTGGCTGGGAAGGAGATAGGGTTGCCAACTCCAGGTGGGAAATTCCTGGAGATGTGAGGGATGGAGCCTGGAGAGGGTGAGGTTTCAGGAGGCATGGGACCTCGGACAGGTACAAAGAGATCAGTTCCTCTGGAGAAAATGGTGAACTCAGTGTCATTATACCCTGCTGAGGTTGCCACAGCAAATTGACACTGAGTGTCCAAGGCTAGAGCACCCGCCTAGAGCCTCTTTCTAGAGTTCGTTGTATTTATTTCCACAACGGGCCTTTTTCCTAGTTAAATATATATATCTATATTGACACCCAAAGGACAAGTTTCAGAAGGGTTTATTTTTACTGTTTGTTATGGTTGTTTCTCATGTATGATGCACAAGTGTGATTTTCCTGGGATCTCTGAATTTAAGATTGCAGCTATGCATACCTATGGGAATTTAAAGGGGAGGGGGAAACGACCCCCAGTATTTGCACTCTGCATAAGGACCAGAGAAAAACTGGGTAATATTAAAAACACACACACAAAAATACAGGCCCCTCTTGGGCCAAACTAGACCCTCGTTCTGACTTGCTTTTCCCACAGCGACACAGTCGGTGCAGGGAACTCATTTTTAAAGTTGGTACAGGACTATGGTTTGTAGGGGCGAGGAGCTTCTGCCTTCCCCCAGAACTGTTTTCCTGAGCTGAAATTGCCTTGGGAGGAGGGCATTTGGCCCACTGAGGGCTGCAGGTGTACAGAGTCCTGTAAACTCAAAAATGGAGCAAATAACAGCGCCATGGCTGCAGGCCCGTAGCTACAGTGGGGCATCTTGGGGCTGCCCCCCTCCTGACTTACTGCCCAGGCCTCCCGACTTCCCATCCAGATGGGTTATTTTATTTTTCGTGCACCCTGCCAGCACCCTCGCCTCTCTCTGTCTCTCGTTGCTTTTTAAAACTTTTACTCTCTCGTCATTCCTGACACAGCTTGGGTGTGTGTGTGTGGGTGCCCCCGAACTTATTTAAATGCCCCCCAAAGTAAAAAATCCTGGCTACAGCCCCTGCATGGCTGTTTTGTCTTAGGAGAAATGGCATGGCGGGGAGGCAGAAGCCCCTCTTCCCCCTACGCTGTTGTCATGAGCTGAATCAGGACCCTGTGCTGCTTTAAAATTGGATTCCCTGCCGCTCCAGGGAACCTGGTCCTGACTATATAAAATGCTCATGCTTGCTTTGGGCCTCAGACATTCCATCAGATATCCCATAGAATTTTGATCCAAAGAGCAGTCCAGTGGGGGAGAATCAAGATTCAATTGCAAAATCCACCTTAATAGGATGTCATGATCATCCCTACTCAAAACTCCAAGTACACAGATTTCACTGTGGATCCATAGTGGTAAAAGGAAAGGGCTTTTGTATGCCAAGAGATTGTTGTTGCGGCAGAGAGAGAGATATTTTTGTTGGCTATCCACCATGAGAGATTTGAAACATGCAGCTTGGCTCATAGGCACTAGCCACCCAAAATTTAATGAAACCTCCCTACATTTGCGCCTCCTCCCTGCTCCTGGGGGTGCTGTAATTGGCATTGTGCACCCTGGAGGTGAAGATTCTGGAAGGTTGCTTAGAATCAATGGCTGTTTGGACTCCATGGCTTTCCAGCTCCTGGTTATCTGCTTTTTCTAGCTTAGTGGACACACCCTTTGGCAAAGACAAAATATTTCCTGGGAGGCAGTAATATCTGCAGATGGCAAGCTACCAGCACGGCCTCTGATTCACCCCTTGCCCTTTCACTCCGGTTTCTCCCACAGACTTTCTTTCAAAATATGTAAAACGGGCATGTACTGAGTCAGCAAGAGTCTGAGCCAACACTGGCCCATCGCTCGCTCTGTGGAAACTTTGAAAGTACTGAGGCCTGTGCTTCTAGGATGCTCCTGTAACTCTGAAGAGTGAAGCATTTGTGAGAGAGATGTCATTCCAGTGACTTTCCAACCCTAGTTGGGTTAATTGTGGTGGGTAATCTGGGTTAAGGAAGACATTGGTGGATTGTGACACGTCTTTGGCAGCCTGTGGGAGTAAGAGGGAGTCATCTTGCCAGTTGCTGCAGTGGCCTCCCACTGCCTTGCCAGAGTAAAAGTAGAATACATCTATATTTAGAACAAATTTAGGGTGCGTTCAGATGGGGCGTTTCAGCCGGCATAAACTGGTGCAGTTTATGCCGTCTGAAACACAATCACACTTACCTCCTGTCTGCGGAGCCCATCGATGTATGCCCGTTCACAGACAGCGGGTGTCGGCGGTTGTTTTTTTTAAATTCAGTTTGCGCTTGCGCATAGGCAGCCATCCAAAGAATGGCGATCTTCGCGCATGCGCAAAACACCCAAAAAGCATGCCCTGAAGAGAGGACTCACCTTTAAAGTTTAAAGACCAAACTGGCCTCCCTGAGGTCCTGGACTCCTCTAAAATCTTAAACTAAGGACCTTTTTCTTTTTTAAAAAAAACAAATGCAGGGCGAAGCCTCGCCCACGCGCATATCGCCAACCTAGCCAAAAAAATGGTGGGCGAAAAGCAGAAGCCTCAGGCTTCCGAACGGAAGTGGCTCTACAACGGTGGAGAGCGATCAGACGGGGGGTAAAGTGGTTACAACCGGTGCACTCAAGATACCACCACTTGGGGACCTAGTAGCAGAATACACCGGTTTAAAGCTCTTTGCAACTGTTAGGGACGGAAGTCAGATGTTCTACGTGTGAACGCCGGTAAGTACACCGATTCCAACCGGCCCCAATACCATTGCAAATGCCCCGTCTGAACACACCCGCAGAGCCCAGTGGCACCTTTAAGACCAACAAAGGTCTTTGTTCATCTTAAAGGTGCCACTGGACTCTAAATTTGTTCTACTGCTTCAAACCAACATCTATATTTACTTACTAGTTTAGTACAGTTTAGTACTAAACAGTTGCCTTTCCTCAGAGGGAACTCAGGCAACCCCTGCCCCATTTGATCTTCACAACAACTCAGTGAGGTGGGGGCCGGCTGAGAGAGAAAGACTAGCCAGTGGGTCACTCAGTGAGTTTAATGACAAGCAGAAATTTGAACCTGGGTGTCCTAGGCTAGTGCTCTAACCCACTACACCACACTTACACAGACAATGTGGGTGTTTCGGTCACAAAGGGCAGAGTTCCTGTGCCCGTAACCAGCTGCCTGACAAGCAAACACTGAACAGCAAAACAAAGTTTGAGTCCGGTAGCACTTTTAAGACCAACAAAGTTTTATTCCCAGGGGTAATTTAGTAGAAAAAAAGCTGCAAGCTATTAGCTATTAGCGTAATAGCTCATTAGCATATGAGCTGCAGGCTATTAGCTATTAGCATATGCCACACCCCCTGACTGAGCTGCAGGCTATTAGCTATTAGCGTAATAGCTCATTAGCATATGAGCTGCAGGCTATTAGCTATTAGCGTAATAGCTCATTAGCATATGAGCTGCAGGCTATTAGCTATTAGCATATGCCACACCCCCTGACATCACTGGAA